TGTGTGGTGAGGTTTGGGTTTCTAAGCGGTTGTTTAAAGCAATGACTCCGGTCCTTCCCTACGATATCCAGTTTTAAAGTTATGAATAGTGTTTGCTTCCACAACCTGTTCCTGAAGTGCATTCCATTTTCCCACTACTCTCACGCTAAAAGAAAACTTCCTAACATCCCTGTGACTCATCTGAGTTTCCAGCATCCATCCATGTCTCCTCGTTCTGTTACTATTCCGTGCGAACATTTCGTCTATGTCCACTCTGTCAATCCCCCTGAGTATTTTATACGTTCCTATCATGTCCCCCCTCTCCCTTCTTTTTTCTAGTGTCGTAAGGTTCAGTTCCTTCAGGCGCTCTTCATACACCATCCCTCGTAACTCTGGGACGAGTCTCGTTACAAACTTCTGAACCTTTTCCAGTTTCTATATATGTTTCTTCAGATGGGGACTCCATGATGAGGCGGCATACTCTAAGACTGGCCTCACGTAGGCAGTGTAAAGCGCCCTAAATGCCTCCTTACTTAGGTTTCTGAATGATGTTCTAACTTTTGCCAGTGTAGAGTACGCTGCTGTCGTTATCCTATTTATATGTGCCTCAGGAGATAGATTAGGTGTTACGTCCACCCCCAGGTCTCTTTCACGCGTCGTTACAGGTAGGCTGTTCCCCTTCATTGTGTACTGTCTCTTTGGTCTCCTGTCACCTACTTCTATAACCTTACACTTGCTCGAGTTGAGCTCCAGTAGCCATTTCTCTGACCATCTCTGCAATCTGTTCAAGTCCTCTTGGAGGATCCTACAATCCTCATCTGTCACAACTCTTCTCATCAACTTTGCATCATCCGCGAACATCGACATGTAGGATTCTACTCCTGTAAACATGTCGTTAACGTATATTAGAAATAGAATTGGTCCCAGCACCGATCCTTGAGGTACTCCACTCGTTACTGTTCGCCAGTACGACTTCTCACTCCTTACCGTAACTCTCTAGCTCCTTCCTGTTAGGTAGTTCCTTACCCATGCTAGGGCCTTTCCTCCCACCCCCGCCTGCCTCTCAAGTTTGAATAGCAGTCTCCCGCACAAAGGCTTTTTGGCAGTCCAGAAATATACAGTCTGCCCATCCTTCCATGTCCTGCCTTATTCTTGTTCCTTTATAATACAATTCTAAAAGGTTTGATAGGCATGATTCCCATTCCCTGAATGCCTGTTGGTTTTTATTTAAGTATCTAATTGTTTCTGAGTGTGTGACCAGTCTTAACCTGATGGGACAATCAGAGAGCACTTTCTGAACATCAGAAGTTCACGGCTGTTCAATACCCTTCCAGGAAGCATAGAAATATTGCCGGTACAAAGGTGGATGTCATCAAGATACACTTCTTGAGAAGTGTACTTCTCTTGCACTCCTTGCAAGAAGTGCCGGACTAACCTGGCTGTAGTAGGTATGTGGGCCTGCGGGCCGCTCCAAGCAACAGCCTGGTGGACCAAACTCTCACAAGTCAAGCCTGGCCTCGGGCCGGGCTTGGGGAGTAGAAGAACTCCCAGAACCCCATCAACCAGGTATATGTGGGCCTGCGGGCCGCTCCAAGCAACAGCCTGGTGGACCAAACTCTCACAAGTCAAGCCTGGGGCTCCCATGCCGGCCTCGGCGATTAGAAAAACTCCAGAAACCGTCTTCAGGTATACTCCAGGTGTGTGTATGTTTGCGCTTGTGTCTGTCTGTCTGTGTGTGGAAGCGAGTATTTTCAAACCAGTTAGCAGTAACGGACCAAATCCATAGAAAGTGAAGCATTAACGAGAGGGCAGCACTTCCGTCCCCTTGTTTATGTCCAGTTACAACTTTGTAATCCCCGGGAAATGAACGCGTATATACGCCTGGCAACTTGCCTTCAGAGCTGTTATTGCCAAAACGCTTCAGAAGTTCCCACTGGACGATAACTTTCATTCCGGCTAAAAGCTTTGGCACGTTAAAATGGGTAAATATTTTTTGGTGTCTTTGCTGTGAGATACTGTATGAGTGTGTCAATAAGTCCTACGGCGGTGTACAAGAAAGTCCAACGATGATACAGAAGAAAGTCCCAAGATGATACATTAGAAAGTCCCACCATGATGTAACGACCATTTATAATGACTGACAATGGTTAATAGCACTGTTGCCATTTATAATGGAGTCAATCTTGCCTACCACCAATTTCGACTCATAATAATTAACCTAACATCAAATATTTACAACATTCTTTTAACCATGTCGTAGCTCAGTCGACTAAGGCAGCGTCAGGGATCCTCTCGGACGTAGATTCGAACCCTCGTCACGGCCCTTGTGGATTTGTTTATGGTGACAAACCAACGTCTATCTTATCAATATTAGATATCAAAAAATTATAGGAATATAAGGAAAATTATATAAGATAATTATATTATACAAGATTATCAGTCATTACAAATGGTGGCAGCGGTGGGATTATCAAATACAAAAACTGTATTAATAGTTATCTTAACTTCCGCAAAGATATCCAATTGCTAAGGGCATCCGTCCCATTGGACTTACCGACACCCTTTCCGCACTCAAAGTCCAACTATCATTAAAAAAAATCACTTAAGAATTATCCCAGAGCTGCTATGAAACTCTTAAGTTTTCTAAGGCATTCTGGCTCTTAGCTCACACAAAGGTCACTTAACTCTTAGGTCTTCCAGGGGCGTGGTATTGCTGAATAGAGCTCTGGTCCCCTGGGGCCAGATTCACGAAGCAGTTACGCGAGCACTTACGAACCTGTCCATCTTTCCTCAATCTTTGGCGGCTTTGTTTACAATTATTAAACAGTTAATGAGCTCCGAAGCACCAGGAGGCTGTTTATAACAATAACAACAGTTGATTGGCAAGTTTTCATGCTTGTAAACTGTTTAATAAATGTAACCAAAGCTGTCAAAGATTGAGGAAAGATGGACACGTTCGTAAGTACTTGCGTAACTGCTTCGTGAATCTGGCCTCAGGTTCGTAAGTCCTTGCGTAACTGCTTCGTGAATCTGGCCCCAGGTTCGTAAAGTGCTTGCGTAACTGCTTCGTGAATCTAACCCCAGGTTCGTAAAGTGCTTGCGTAACTGCTTCGTGAATCTGGCCCCAGGTTCGTAAGTACTTGCGTAACTGCTTCGTGAATCTGGCCCCCAGGTTCGTAAGTGCTTGCATAACTGCTTCGTGAATCTAACCCCAGGTTCGTAAGTGCTTGCGTAACTGCTTCGTGAATCTGGCCCCTTTGACACTGGGGGATACTTATCAACTATCGTAAACACTATTGAGAGAAAGAGGAAAGAGAGGATGGAGAGAGAGAAAGGTAGAAAGAGGAAAGAGAGGATGGAGAGAGAGAGAGAGAGGTAGAAAGAGGGAAGAAAGAGGATAATTAAGGAGAATGAGAGTGAAAATTTTGTATCTCATTACAGTAATTTACAAACACCAAAAAACACATCATTAATGATCTTTATAAAAAAATTTGGAGACTTCAAAAGAAAATTTTTTCTGTAATATACGAATCACCTCGTTCCTTGGACTTGGCCAATAGATCACATTGATCTAGATTTTAGTATTGTATCCGGACTTTACATTATATGTATTGATAAACATTGTCAATACATTGTACATACATTGTATGTACATTGTATTGTATGACAAATTCTCAAGAGAGTTTGTCAACTCTTCAAAGAGAGTGTTCAACTCTTTTTTAAAAAAAAAAAGTCCAATATAAAAGGACTTTTGTTTCAGGTTCATGGGGGTGTTTTTGGGTCTTTTGTATGTGTTTTTGAGGTGTGGAATTGGTGGTTGGGTAGTTACAGGGGGGTGTATGGTAGTTGTGTTCACCTAGTTGTGCTTGCGGGGGGGTTGAGTTCTGTCTGGCTCTTTCGGCCCGCCTCTCAACTGTCAATCAATCAAGTTTTAAGGGGGTGGTTGAGGTGTTATACACACACATTCCTTGTCAATCCTAGTCCTCTCCTCTCCCTTCCCCTATCCTTCACCCTCTCCCCCCTTTCCACCATTCCTTTAACCCTCCTCCATTCCCCCATTCCATTCTCGGGGCAAAATATTCAAATTAACTCCATTTCCTAGAGTTGATTGACGCTGCCTGGTACCTTTTCCCATGCCTTCCCTTACCCCTTACCCCTTACCCCATTCCCCTATTCCCCCTCCCTTCCCTTACCCCTTACCCTATTCCCCCTCCCTTCATCTCCCCTCCCCCCCTCCCCCATTCCATATTCACCTGCCCCTACCCACCCCACCTCCTTTCCTTTATGTAAATTGTACTTCTCGATGGATTCTAACTACAAATCCTCGGCATTTACATGTCGTGGCTAATGGGCAGAACGGAACCATTTGGGCTAGTAATCAGGGCCCCAATTTGCTTATTAGGCAGAGCGATTTTTCCGTATTTTTTTTTTTAATTTTTCTTTCAAAATTGGTTCATTCTTATTAATATTAATATGTTAGGATCGTGAATTACTGACTTAGGTTAGATGTGGTTAGAAAGGTTAGGTTAGATACGGTAAGGTAGGTAGGCTAAGGTAAGTTAGATAGGGTTAGAAAGGTAACTTAAGCTAGTTTTCATAGTAACTTAAGCCAGAGTAGGTTGATACGTGGGGAGAAGCTGTTACCCATGCAGCAGGTCCCATCCTCTCTCGGACGCAAAGAGAGTAGATTGATACGGGGTAGAAGCTGTTACCCATGCAGCAGGTCTCTCTCCCTCTCTAGGACGCAAAGCCAGAGTAGATTGATACGGGGTAGAAGCTGTTACCCATGCAGCAGGTCTCTCTCCCTCTCTAGGACGCAAAGCCAGAGTAGATTGATACGGGGTAGAAGCTGTTACCCATGCAGCAGGTCCCCCCCCATCCTCTCTAGGACGCAAAGCCAGAGAAGGTTGATACGTGGGGAGAAGCTGTTACCCATGCAGCAGGTCCCCCCCTTCTCCAGGACGCAGGTCTGATGGGTTCCCTGATTATCTTATAACAACATTTCTCTCTCTGGTTTTCAGACGCGCCAAGACGGACGACTCAACGCGACTCAGAACTGAAGACGGTGAGGGCGGGGGAGGACGTCCGGCTCTTCTGTCCCATCGACGGCACGCCCACGCCCATCTACGAGTGGCTGAAGGTACGTCCCAAGCTCCTCAAGATATAGGTCGGTACGGGGGAGAAGCTGTTACCCATGCAGCAGGTCCCTCCCTCCTCCAGGGGCGCAAAGCCAGAGTAGGTTGATACTGGAGAGAAGCTGTTACCCATGCAGCAGGTCCCCCCCCCTCTCTATGACGCAAAGCCAGAGTAGGTTGATACGGAGAAGCTGTTACCCATGCAGCAAGTGTCCCCCTTCTCCAGGGGCGCAAAGCCAGGTTAAATTGATACGGAGGAGAAGCTGTTACCCATGCAGCAGGTCCCCCTTTCTCTTCACGACTATTAAAACCAATAATAACAATGCAGACGATGATACAATGACCTGATTGAAGATATAATGACCAAAACACACATCAGATGAAGAGACAACGACGTTTCGGTCCGTCCTGGACCACAATGGACTTGAGAATGGTCCAGGACGGACCGAAACGTCGTCGTCCCTTCACCTTCTAGTGTGTGGTCTGGTCAACACAATAATAACAGTATTTTTCACATGTGCTCAGAATAATTAACCAAAAAAGGAGTATTTTGATATATCTGTTAAGGGGATCAGCTGGTTCTAAACCGATTGGCTAGTCGCGTTCGTGGGGAGTTTAACGTGATCTATGGTGAGGGGGAAGCTCTGTAAGCCTGTTAACCTAGGTCAGTAGTTTGACAGTGAAGAGGCGGGACCAAAGAGCCAGAGCTCAACCCCCCCGCAAGCACAACTAGGTGGGTACAACCCCCCCCCCCCCTCCAGGAAGGAGCCCGTAGCAGCTGTCTAACTCCCAGGTACCTATTTACTGCTAGGGTGAACAGGGTGAAAGAAACTCTGGTTATTTGTATCTACCTTGATCGGGAATAGAACCCGGGCCCTTAGCAATACGATCTCTCGAACGCTGTCCACTCAGCCACGAGGCCTACAGGGCTGTCCCATCCCAAATCCTTATCCTGACCCCTTCCCAGTGCTATATAGTCGTAATGGCTTGGCGCTTTCCCCTGACGATGCTGCATGCGCGTTATAATTGCATTCATGCGTGCGTAATTGTGCTTGAGAGTGCGTGCACGCACTTGTGTGTTGAGTGCAACGCTTCCTGGATTCATTCTCCTATTTATGAAGCCTGAGCTTCGTTTTAAACGCGTGCTTCGTTGGGATGTTAACATTGCGTGAGGTGCTTGCGTGCGTGTGCGTGTGTGTGTGTGTCAGTAGGTAAGAGCAGCTCTCACCAGCTCTCCCAAGAGCGAGAGCAAGACAAGAGAGAGAGAAGAGTACCACGACAAAAAAACTAAAGGAACTCATTTGATTATCGGAAAAGATATATCGATCTTATCGCAAAATCGAAACATCCCCCGGGAGGCGGCCACATGCAGGAGCCGGCTACGTTGTTTCTCGCTTCGCCAAGGTCAGGCAGCCGGGCCCAGGGAGCGGGCCAAGCTCCTGGCCCCCGACTCTTAGCCTCTCCTGTCGTGGTTCTTGTCAACCGTGCGTGTCTGGACCCTGAATTTCTCACGTCAATCCATCAACTATCAAATCCGTAGAGTTATTATGCTTGCAAGGAGGAGGTGTTGCAGAAATATTCACATTGCACGCTTGCATGATTGACAGCTGCCCGTTTCCCAGAAGCCAAACAGTACAAATATATATATATTTGTATATATATATATTTGTACTCAAGATATCACCCATTATATATATATATATATATATATATATATATATATATATATATATATATATATATATATATATATATATATATATATATATACAAGAATTCTTGTATATATAAATAAAAAAAATAAAAAATATCAAACCAACCCAATCGTTACGACGCAGGAATTGGGCTGTTACCTGAGCTGTCTGTAGTTATCAACCTTAACTACTGTTACTGTGTCGGGATCCAGTGGTCCTGGGTTCGGTCCCGGGCGCCGGCGAGAAACAATGGGGCAGAGTTTCTTTCACTTTGACGCCCCCTTGTTACCTAGCAGTAAAATAGGTACCCGGGAGTTAGTCAGCTGTCACGGGCTGCTTCCTGGGAAAAGTAGAGGAGGCCTGGTCGAGGACCGGGCCGCGGGGACACTAAAGCCCCGAAATCATCTCAAGAGAGGGTTGATAGTTCACACACTGAAATTATCTGCCGTACTTACAGTCATATCTGTATCAGATCTGTAAACATCAGAGGTCCGCGGTTGTTCAACGTCCTCCCAGCAAGCATAAGAAATATTGCCGGAACAACCGTGGACATCTTCAAGAGGAAACTAGATTTATTCCTCCAAGGAGTGCCGGACCAACCGGGCTGTGGTGGGTATGTGGGCCTGCGGGCCGCTCCAAGCAACAGCCTGGTGGACCAAACTCTCACAAGTCGAGCCTGGCCTCGGGCCGGGCTTGGGGAGTAGAAAAACTCCCAGAACCCCATCAACCAGGTATATCTGCCCTATTCCCTCCCCCCCCCCTCACTCACCTCTCTCCCCTCTCACTCACCCTCTAAATCCCGCTTGAGTGGGCGCAGGGTGACAGTGGGGGGGGGGGGGGGGGGTGACCTCACCCTCGAGCATCAGTTCGAGAATTAGCAATGATTGAAGCACGTCCTGTTAACACGATGCTCGGTCCAGATTCACGAAGCAGTTACTCAAGCACTTACTAACCTGGGGCCCAGATTCACGAAGCAGTTACTCAAGCACTTACGAACCTGGGACCAGATTCACGAAGCAGTTACTCAAGCACTTACGAACCTGGGGGCCAGATTCACGAAGTAGTTACTCAAGCACTTACGAACCTGGGGCTAGATTCACGAGTCAAGCTTGTCCCACCAAGTCAAGCTTGGTCGGTCAAGTCAAGCTTGATCGGTCAAGTCAAGCTTGATCGGTCAAGTCAAGCTTGGTCGGTCAAGTCAAGCTTGGTGGTCAAGTCAAGCTTCCTCGCTTCATGCAGGTCGGTGTTCAGTCCCCGAAGGAGACTGAACGCGCCACTCTGCAGGGAGAAGGAACTCCTTCCAATCTTTCACTGAAGAGGAGAACTCAAAGATCAACTGGTTTCGTCATCAGAAGTCACTCAAAGTATACGACAGCCTGCGAACAAGGGGCATGGCTTCCTGGGTTTCGGGCACTCAGTACTGAAGGTGCCCGGGGGTATGAAGTCTCGACTGGACATGGAAAAATAGGTAATTGAGCTGCTATCGTCGGGCGAACCGCTAATTACTTCCTTCAGGCAGTTAAGACTTTTCGTAGGGATCTTCCCGCTATGGTTGGCAGGCCTACAAAGTGCTGCCAAAGGGCCTGGCAAAGGGAAGATGCGTAACGTCGCCAAAGCGATGCCCAAAACTGCGGTAGAACGGCCTATTTCGAGCCAAATGGTGTTTTTGGCCTTCGTCAGCGCCTTCTGCAGGACGAGTATCTGGTTCTTGTGGCGCCTTAACTTCCAGAAGGTTCCCACGATGGGGAGCCAGGTGAGTAGGTCCTTCAGTGGCGTGAGGGGCGAGCTGGCTTCCCGGAGGTCCTCCTCGTAGGTGCAGTAGAAGGATATGACGTAGTCGATGTAGACTAGGCAAGCCAGCAGGCTAGCTACAAGTAGCACTCGACTCAAGTGCTGTAGGCACGGGGGTGACCCGGCTATGGTCAGGCTGTTCCTTGAGGCGCTACTGTCCAAGGTCAACCTCGAACACTCGGGAGCCAGGTTAAGGGTCAGCGCCGACAGCTCCGGGTCCAGGTCAGAGGTCATCCTCGACCTGTCGGAAGGCAGGTCAGAGGTCACCCTCGACCTATCGGAAGGCAGGTCAGGGGTCACCTCAGGCATCTCATGACCCAGATCAGAGGTCACCCTCGACCTCTCATGACCCAGGTCAGAGGTCACCTCAGACCTCTCATGACCCAGGTCAGAGGTCACCTCAGACCTCTCATGACCCAAGTCAGAGGTCACCTCAGACATCTCCTGACCCACATCAGAGGTCACCCTCGACCTCTCATGACCCAGGTCAGGGGTCACCTCAGACCTCTCATGACCCAGGTCAGAGGTCACCTCAGACCTCTCATGACCCAGATCAGAGGTCACCTCAGACCTCTCATGACCCAGGTCAGAGGTCACCTCAGACCTCTCCTGACCCACATCAGAGGTCACCCTCGACCTCTCATGACCCAGGTCAGAGGTCACACTGTGGACCATCGCCCTCCACGCCTGGTAGTAGAGCTCTCCGGCATATTCAAGAAGAACCCAAAGAATCAATATTATCAGTATTAAATTAAACAACATTCTCACTGAATATTTAAAACATGAAATCATTAACAATTTTTACTAGTAATATTGAAGTAACTTTATTTTAACACAATCTTATATGGTAAAAGTAAGATGGTAGTAAAGGTTCAGGGGTTTCTGAGGACTGCGTGATCGATTGATCATGTGTAGTGATGATGTATACTCAGATTGATCACGTATAGTGACGATGTATACTCAGATTGATCACGTGTAGCGATGATGTATACTCAGATTGATCACGTGTAGTGATGATGTATACTCAGATTGATCACGTGTAGTGACGATGTATACTCAGATTGATCACGTGTAGTGATGATGTATACTCAGATTGATCACGTGTAGTGATGATGTATACTCAGATTGATCACGTGTAGTGATGATGTATACTCAGATTGATCACGTGTAGTGATGATGTATACTCAGATTGATCACGTGTAGTGATGATGTATACTCAGATTGATCACGTATAGTGATGATGTATACTCAGATTGATCATGTATAGTGATGATGTATACTCAGATTGATCATGTATAGTGATGATGTATACTCAGATTGATCACGTGTAGTGATGATGTATACTCAGATTGATCACGTGTAGTGACGATGTATACTCACATTGATCATGTATAGTGATGATGTATACTCAGATTGATCATGTATAGTGATGATGTATACTCAGATTGATCACGTGTAGTGACGATGTATACTCAGATTGATAATGTATAGTGATGATGTATACTCAGATTGATCATGTA